GTGAAAACCTTGTGAAGACTTACAGAAAACGTTTGACCTGTGTCATTGCCAACAAAGGGTATATAACAAAGTATTGAGAAACTTTTGTTATTGACCATATACTTATTTTCCACCATAATTTGCAAATAAATTCATTAAAAAATCCTACAATGTGATTTTCTGGATTTTTTTTTCTCATTTTGTCTGTCATAGTTGACGTGTACCTATGATGAAAATTACAGGCCTCTCTCATCTTTTTAAGTGGGAGAACTTGCACAATTGGTGGCTGACTAAATACTTTTTTTCCCCACTGTATGTGGTTTCTTGAGCAGGGGGACCTTGCGGGCGCTGCAGGATTTCAGTCCTTCACGGCGTAGTGTGTTACCAATTGTTTTCTTGGTGACTATGGTCCCAGCGGCCTTGAGATCATTGACAAGATCCTCCCGTGTAGTTCTGGGCTGATTCATCACCGTTCTCATGATCATTGCAACTCCACGAGGTGAGATCTTGCATGGAGCCCCAGGCTGAGGGAGATTGACAGTTATTTTGTGTTTCTTCCATTTGCGAATAATCGCACCAACTGTTGTCACCTTCTCACCAAGCTGCTTGGCGATGGTCTTGTAGCCCATTACAGCCTTGTGTAGGTCTACAATCTTGTCCCTGACATCCTTGGAGAGCTCTTTGGTCTTGGCCATGGTGGAGAGTTTGGAATCTGATTGATTGATTGCTTCTGTGGACAGGTGTCTTTTATACAGGTAACAAGATGAGATTAGGAGCACTCCCTTTAAGAGTGTGCTCCTAATCTCAGCTCGTTACTTGTATAAAAGACACCTGGGAGCCAGAAATCTTTCTGATTGAGAGGGGGTCAAATACTTATTTCCCTCATTAAAATGCAAATCAATTAATAAAATTTTTGACATGTGTTTTGTCTGGATATTTTTGTTGTTATTCTGTCTCTCACTGTTGAAATAAACCTACCATTAAAATTATAGACTGATCATTTCTTTGTCAGTGGGAAAACGTACAAAATCAGCAAGGGATCAAATACTTTTTTCCCTCACTGTATGTATGTATGTATGTGAATATATATATATGCGAGAAAAAAAAAATATGGGGGATTGGAAGTGATGCAGACAATTACATTGATGGAAGTTACAATCTATCTGCAATATTAAAGCTGATATACCCCCTAAAAAAAAAAGGAGAAACAAAAGCTAGGTTACAGAGTATCTTTTGATAAGTCTCCAGTATCAACATTTCCAAGCAAACAAAAACAGGGAGAATCTGTAGACATGCTGAGATAAAAGAACATACTCTTTGCCAGAATTCAGCCGGCCTTCACAAGACCATAACATACAGTTGAAGTCGGAAGTTTACATACACTTAGATTGGAGTCATTAAAACTCGTTTTTCAACCACTCCACAAATTTCTTGTTAACAAACCATAGTTTTGGCAAGTCGGTTAGGACATCTAATTTGTGCATGACACAAGTCATTTTTCCAACAATTGTTTAGACAGATTATTTCACTTATAATTTACTGTATCACAATTCCAGTGGGTCAGATGTTTACATACACTAAGTTGACTGTGCCTTTAAACAGCTTGGACAATTCCAGAAAATGATGTCATGGCTTTAGAAGCTTCTGATAGGCTAATTGACATCATTTGAGTCAATTGGAGGTGTACCTGTGGATGTATTTCAAGGCCTACCTTCAAACTCAGTGCCTCTGCTTGACATCATGGGAAAATCAAAAGAAATCAGCCAAGACCTCAGAAAAAGAATGGTAGACCTCCACAAGTCTGGTTTATCCTTGGGAGCAATTTCCAAACGCCTGAAGGTACCACGTTCATCTGTACAAACAATAGTACGCAAGTATAAACACCATTGGACCATGCAGCCATCATACCGCTCAGGAAGGAGATGCGTTCTGTCTCCTAGAGATGGACGTACTTTGGTGTGAAGTGCAAATCAATCCCACAACAACAGCAAAGGACCTTGTGAAGATGCTGAAGGAAACAGGTACAAAAGTATCTATATCCACAGTAAAACGAGTCCTATATCGACATAACCTGAAAGGCCGCTCAGCAAGGAAGAAGCCACTGCTCCAAAACCGCCATAAAAAGCCAGACTACGGTTTGCAGCTGCACATGGGGACAAAGATCGTACTTTTTGGAGAAATGTCCTCTGGTCTGATTAAACAAAAATAGAACTGTTTGGCTATAATGACCATTGTTATGTTTGGAGGAAAAAGGGGAAGGCTTGCAAGCCGAAGAACACCATCAGCATCATGCTGTGGGGGTGCTTTGCTGCAGGAGGGACTGGTGCACTTCACAAAATAGATGGCATCATGAGGAATGTAAATGATGTGGATATATTGAAGCAACATCTCAAGACATCAGTCAGGAAGTTAAAGCTTGGTCGCAAATGGGTCTTCCAAATGGACAATGACACCAAGCATACTTCCAAAGTTGTGGCAAAATGGCTTAAGGACAACAAAGTCAAGGTATTGGAGTGGCCATCACAAAGCCCTGACCTCAATCCTATAGAACATTTGTGGGCAGAACTTTAAAAGCGTGTGTGAGCAAGGAGGTCTACAAACCTGACTCAGTTACACCAGCTCTGTCAGGAGGAATGGGCCAAAATTCACCCAACTTATTGTGGGAAGCTTGTGGAAGGCTACCCGAAACGTTTGACCCAAGTTAAACAATTTAAAGGCAATGCTACCAAATACTAGTTGAGTGTATGTAAACTTCTGACCCACTGGGAATGTGATGAAATGAATAAAAGCTGAAATATATCATTCTCTCTACTATTATTCTGACATTTCACATTCTTAAAATAAAGTGGTGATCCTAACTGACCTAAGACAGGGAATTTTTACTAGGATTAAATGTCAGGAATTGTGAAATACTGAGTTTAAATGTTTTTGGCCATGGTGTATGTAAACATCCGACTTCAACTGTATGCAAATATGTCCCCTTTTTGTGTTTTACACCTCCAGCAGAAGAATGACATTTCTTAGACCGAGTGGCACAGTGGTCTAAGGCACTGCATCGCAGTGCTAGCTGTGCCACTAGAGATCCTGGTTCGAATCCAGGCTCTGTCGTAGCCGGCCGCGACCGGGAGACCCATGGGGCGGCGCACAATTGGCCCAGCGTCGTCCAGGGTAGGGGAGGGAATGGCCGGCAGGGATGTAGCTCAGTTGGTAGAGCATGGCGTTTGCAACGCCAGGGTTGTGGGTTCGATTCCTACGGAGGGGCAGTATGAAAAAAATAAAAAATAATGTATGCACTCATTAACTGTAAGTCGCTCTGGATAAGAGTGTCTGCTAAATGACTAAAATGTAAATGTTAGTGCTTGTTATTCATTTTCACTGGCATATAGTACATTCTAAGGATGGTCTTAAACACTGTCTGAGATTATATGAACATGACTGGGAAATTCATCATAGTCATCATCAATAGCTTCTCCCAGGTCTTCCTCACATTTTAGTTTTACATGTTTTGTGTCATCGGGAAAAGCCTCTAGCAACCCTTAATACAGTTTGGAAATCAACTTTGGAGGTTTGTCGGACTGCCTTAAAATAGTTTTGATCTTTGAAGTATTTGCTGCACAGAGAGAATAAAGTGTTGTATCTGCAAAAGTTCACCTCAGCTCCATCAGACTGGTCTTCCCTGGCTGCCAGACCCTGCTGAGACCCCTGTCACCATCTGATCCTGCTAAGATGAGGCATGAAAAAGAATTACCTTGGTGTACATTTATACATTATATTAACCAAGAATAGAATCACTGGTTCAATAATTAAAATTACCATTATTCCCAGATCCCAGACTGTAGCTTTAAGCTTAAACTACTGCCGTGTAGCTACTGTAGGCCTACCCATCAACTCAAGATGGAACTTTGTATACATTCACTGATATTGTAATAATATAATGCAAAATTCACCTGAGCTCCGTAGACTGGTCTTCCCTGGCTGTCTGACCCTGCTGGGACTTCTGTCACCATCTGGTCCTGCTATGACATGATGAGCATAGTGTTGTGTACCATGACCGTGAAGCCTGTAGAACTGTTTATTACTGTGTCAGTGTGAAAAGTAGGGAACTAGCTAGGGAAACTGATAGATCAACAACGTTACATTGCTATACTGACTAACAAAAACTCACATTGCGCTGAAAAAATGTCAAAATATCGGTTTTCAATCGTTTGGCCGCTGGTTTCATCATTTGATTCAGGTCTGGTGTGATTGAGGCAAAGATAATAGCTAACCTTCGTCAACTTTTGGCTAGCTCTCTTTCTAACGGTACATCAACTGGAGAAAGCTAGCCAAGTTCATTTATTACAGCTGTTAGATATAATATAATCTAACAGCTGTAATAATATATTTCTATCTGACACATCGCTAGAGGCTAGCCCTCAGTTCCATTACATTATTCGTAAGTCATTGGACGAAGGCGTCTTCTGTACAAGAGCCCCGATGCTCAATCTGAACATTAACACGCGTCGCTTGCAGTACGGTTTTGGAAGCATAAGGACCTTATCTTTCATATCAGTGAGAAATAATATTAAATAAAAAAGTTGATTAAATTGAGCTGAACTTGCTGTGGTAGCTACTAGCTAGCTAATTCGTTCACCACAGTCGAGAGGGGATGAAACATTAGCTAACGTTACATATCTGTTACACTACTAGCTCAGCACTGGGAATAAACACTAGTTTAGTTTTTCTTCTTATGTTAAGTCAAAGAGCAGTTACCTTGTCAACTAAAGAGTAGCCCGTTCCTGCTCTGCTTGCTTTTACAACTCGGAGAAAGAGCGCAACACGTACACACTGACAGCAGCTGCCTCTGTTCAACTTTTCCCTTGCCAGTCCTAAGCCAGCCTTTCGGAAGCTTTGCCTTCACACAGCCTGTCCGCAAGCGCTGTTGGTGTCTGCCCTGTCCTAAATCTAGCCGGCTGAAACCGCCAAACAGCCTACCTGATTCAGAGGGGTTGGGTTAAATGCGGAAGAGACCTTTCAGTTGAATGCATTCAGTTGTACAACTGACTAGGTATCCCCCTTTAACTGTATGGTACCCTATTGCCAATAGTTTGCGTCTCCTGTCTGTTCCAGTTCTTGCCTCGTCAGGGATCGACTACAACATCAAAATCTGGTCACCTCTGGAGGCGTCGCCGTCGTTTAACAGAGTCCTAGCTGATGAGGTATGTTTGGTAAATGATTTATTCAACCTTAGTGGCAGAAGGCAAGTAGACTGAGGTGCACTTCTCTGTCATCCAGTAGAGGGAGTGGATTCCCCACTGTGTGGGACTTCCCCATAGTCTGTCTGCTCCTCTCCATGAGCTCTCACAACAGCTGACTGGAGACGCCTTCCTCCCTGTACCCTCCCTCATCACCCCCTCTCTGTTCTCCCTCCTCCTCCCCATGCCCTCTTCTTTCTCTTTCGTCACCCCTTCTCCCTCTCTCACCAGTCCCACTCCCAACTCCAGTCAGTGATAGAAACCACATTTTCTTTGAAGCTTCTGACACAACAGAGATGATGAATTCAGAGATCAAATATAAGGTTCACTGGTATAATTCACTTTCACCCGCTCTCTTTCTCTCACACTTATTCTCCCTGTAGGTGATCACGCGTAATGAGTTGATGCTAGAGGAGACCAGGAACACCATCACAGTCCCTGCATCCTTCATGCTGCGAATGCTGGCCTCCCTTAATCACATAAGAACGGGTACACACACTCTGTTCAATTTTGCTTGTAGTTTTGTGATATTAACTATATTTTGGGGCTTTCGTGAATTGGTTGAAATTGTGGTTTGGAAAGCAGTTAGCCAATGAACCAATAGAAAGTGCATGTGGAAGTATTTATGTACTTTGGGACCCTTGAGCTTGGGCTGAGTAAACCTCTTACCACCGGGAGATTAACTGGTTCATTCACTCAATTACCAGCAACCAGTTATGATGCTTCTACTGCAGACCCCACAAGCTGGGTACAGTAGGAAATGAGATCTAGGTTGCGTTCATTAGACACAAAATGGAAGAAAACAGACTGAAGTAGTGTGGAACTACAAGAATCCAATAAGAAATGCACATTTTTGTTTTCCGGTGCCTTAATGAAAATGACCCAGGGGTTTATTACACACTCTCACTTAGTTTTTCCTTCCTTTCCTCAGATCGCTTGGAGGGCGACCGCTCAGAAGGCTCTGGACAGGAGAACGAGGATGAGCAGTAGCTGCCCGGACGCCATTTTATTTAAAAAAATAATAAAACAAAAATAATTTTATTTTGCTCTATCACTTGAAGATCTTGAGATTTGTACAAGTGTTATGTAGAATATTTCCTTATCTGAGCATTAGTTACATTTGTAGCCCTCTTCTTTTTTAAGATGAATTTCGTACTGGTGTGTGTGTATGAGAACTGCATCTGAGAAAAATAACTGTGTGTGAATGCAAGCGCAAAGCCAGGCAATATATATATAAAGAGGGGAATATTATTTAGATGACTGGTGCGTGAGGATGTTTAAAGTGCAATATTATTTTTGTCAGGAGCAAATGAGCTTTGATCAGTGTTAAGGTGTGACATTTCTTATTTGTAGCGCAAGGCTGAGAACTCAAATGTTTATATACTGTACTTGCAGTTATGCATGTAAACATAATAATTATGCTTTAAATAAACAATTTTGTTGTTGAAAATGTCTAAGTATGTCTGTCTCAAAGGTATAAGTACAGTGCCTTCGGAAAGTATTCAGACCCCTTGACTTTTTCCACATTTTGTTACAGCCTTATTAAAAAATGGATTGAAAAAATAATCCTCAGCAATCTACACACAATACCCCATAATGACAAAGCGAAAACAGGTTTTTAGAAATGTTTTTTTTTTTTATATATACTTATTTACATATGTATTCAGACCCTTTGTTAGGAGACCCGAAATTGAGGTCAGGTGCATCCTGTTTCCATTGATCGTCCTTGAGATGTTTCTACAACTTGAATGGAGTCCACCTGTGGGAAATTAACTGTGGATAAGAGCGTCTGCTAAATGACTAAAATGTAAATGTAAATGTAAATTCAATTGATTGGACATGATTTGGAAAGGCACACACCCGTCTCTATAAGTTCCCACAGTTGACAGTGCATGTCAGAGCAAAAACCAAGCCATGAGGTTGAAGGAATTGTCTGTAGAGCTCCGAGACAGGATTGTGTCGAGGCACAGATCTGGGGAAGGTCTGCAGCATTGAAGGTCCTCAAGAACACTGGCTTCCATCATTCTTAAATGGAAGAAGTTTGGAACCACCAAGACTCTTCCTAGAGCTGGCCGCCCGGCCAAACTAAGCAATCGGGGGAGAAGGGCCTTGGTTAGGGAGGTGACCAAGAACCCGATGGTCACTGACAGTGCTCTAGAGTTTCTCTGTGGAGATGGGAGAACCTTCCAGAAGGACAACCATCTCTGCAGCACTCCACCAATCAGGTCTTTCTGTTAGAGTGGCCAGACGGAAGCCACTCCTCAGTAAAAGGCATATGACATTCCACTTGGAGTCCAAAAGGCACCTAAAGACTCTCAGACCATGAGAAACAAGATTTTCTGGTCTGATGAAACCAAGATTGAACTCTTTGGCCTGAATGCCAAGCGTCACGTCTGGAGGAAACCTGGCACCATCTCTACGGTGAAGCATGGCAGCATCATGCTGTGGGAATGCACACAGCCAAGACAACGCAGGAGTGGCTTCGAGACAAATCTCTGAATGTCCTTGAGTGGCCCTGCCAGAGCCCGGACTTGCACCCAATCTGGAGAGACCTGAAAATAGCTGTGCAGCGACGCTCCCCATCCAACCTGACAGAGCTTGAGTATCTGCAGAGAAGAATGGGAGAAACTCCCCAAATACAGGTGTGCAAAGCTTGTAGCGTCATACCCAAGAAGACTCAAGAATACTCGAGACTGTAACCGCTGCCAAAGGGGCTTCAACAAAGTACTGAGTAAAGGGTCTGAATACTTATGTAGATGTGATATCATTTTTTTCTTTTTAAATGTGCTAAAATTTCTAAAAACCTGTTTTTGTTTTGAGGTATTGTGTGTAGATTGATGAGGGTGAAAAAACAATTATACATTTTAGAATAAGGCTGTAACGTAACAAAATGTGGAAAAAGTCAAGAGTTCTGAATACATTCCAAAGGCACTGTATGTCTTGTGATTCCATCCTGTAACTGTTTTTACAGAAAACAACTGAACTCTCATCTTGGCGCTGTTGAAGGATCCACACAACAGTTTAGGGATCCTGAATGTCGCCCAGGTCACAGGACAGATGGCTTGTGGTAGCTGTTGGCTGAAGCACTAACACAGTATGGCCCGTTTACTCCATAATGTATGTGTATATATACAGTGGGGGAAAAAAGTATTTAGTCAGCCACCAATTGTGCAAGTTCTCCCACTTAAAAAGATGAGAGAGGCCTGTAATTTTCATCATAGGTACACGTCAACTATGACAGACAAATTGAGATTTTTTTTTCCAGAAAATCACATTGTAGGATTTTTTATGAATTTATTTGCAAATTATGGTGGAAAATAAGTATTTGGTCACCTACAAACAAGCAAGATTTCTGGCTCTCACAGACCTGTAACTTCTTCTTTAAGAGGCTCCTCTGTCCTCCACTCGTTACCTGTATTAATGGCACCTGTTTGAACTTGTTATCAATATAAAAGACACCTGTCCACAACCTCAAACAGTCACACTCCAAACTCCACTATGTCCAAGACCAAAGAGCTGTCAAAGGACACCAGAAACAAAATTGTAGACCTGCACCAGGCTGGGAAGACTGAATCTGCAATAGGTAATCAGCTTGGTTTGAAGAAATCAACTGTGCAATTATTAGGAAATGGAAGACATACAAGACCACTGATAATCTCCCTCGATCTGGGGCTCCACGCAAGATCTCACCCCATGGGGTCAAAATGATCACAAGAACGGTGAGCAAAAATCCCAGAACCACACGGGGGGACCTAGTGAATGACCTGCAGAGAGCTGGGACCAAAGTAACAAAGCCTACCATCAGTAACACACTACGCCGCCAGGGACTCAAATCCTGCAGTGCCAGACGTGTCCCCCTGCTTAAGCCAGTACATGTCCAGGCCCGTCTGAAGTTTGCTAGAGTGCATTTTGATGATCCAGAAGAGGATTGGGAGAATGTCATATGGTCAGATGAAACCAAAATAGAACTTTTTGGTAAAAACTCAACTCGTCGTGTTTGGAGGACAAAGAATGCTGAGTTGCATCCAAAGAACACCATACCTACAGATCTCAACCCTTAGCCTTAGATCTTAGCCTTTTAAAATGATAAACTTGGATTAGCAAACACAACGTGCCATTGGAAGACAGGACTGATGGTTGCTGATAATGGGCCTATGTAGATATTCCATTAAAAATCAGCCGTTTCCAGCTACAATAGCCATTTACAACATTAACAATGTCTACACTGTATTTCTGATCAATTTGATGTTATTTTAATGGACAAGAAAATCGCTTTTCTTTTGAAAACAAGGACATTTCTAAGTGACCCCAAACTTTTGAACGGTAGTGTAGGTATTCCTATTTTCTAGGTGGGAGAGGGCAGAGTGGAGTGCAATTGAGATTGCGTCGTCTGTGGATCTGTTGGGGCGGTATGCAAATTGGAGTGTGTCCAGGGGATCTGAGATGGAGTTTGTGTGCCATGACCAGCCTTTCAAAGCACTTCATTAGTACATATGAGTGCTACGGGGTGGTAGTCATTGTGGCAGGATTCCTTAAGCGTTTTTGGGGACAGGAATGATGGTAATCAGCTCAAAACGTGGGGATTACAGAAAATGTCTGTGAAGAAGCCTACCAGGTGGTCTGCGCATGCCCTGAAGACTCCCTGGAACACTGTCTGGCTCTGCGGCCTTACGAGTGTTGACCCGTTTAAAAACCTTACATCAGCCTCAGAGAGAGATCACCCAGTCCTCTAGATTTCCAGGGACCCTCATGCAGGGCTGTTGTTCTTGTCGAAGCGTGAATAAAAAGGACTGTGATTAAATGCATTTGGTTGCAGAGGATTGCAAGACATTGGCATGATTCAACTGAATCTGGGAGTCATGGCAGTGAGCAAAATGATTGAAATATTGTTTCCCAGCAAACAAAAACACAGGAATCTTCTGCTATGTATACAAAAAAAACTTTAATACAACAGTACAAAACGTTTTAGGGCTGGATTCAATCCAAATTGTGGAAGATCCGAGTTAAAATGTAAAGGTAATTTCCAATTGAGCCGACATATGCAGCGTTTACCGTGTATGCAGTCTCTGCGAACGCGGGAACATTGCCTTTAAATTCAAATTGCGCTATAAACACGGATCTTCTGCGATATGGAATGAATCCATCCCTTAGTGGAAATCAAACGTGTACAATACCTTACATTCTGGAGAATTGCTCTTACAATGCAGTACCATACTCGGACAGTGACGCAGAGATAAACACACATACAGATCAGTATGTGCTTGAAAGCACAGTCAGAGGAGTTGACTAAAGCAGCACTTACAGATCTGGGATCAGGCTAGGTGTCCCTTGCTACAGGGACATAGAAAGCCCACATGACATGCACCAGGATTCCTAACCAACAGAGTCAAATTATTGAATAATACAGTAAGTGGCTTGATGGTGTCCTATTATGTGCTTTACTTTGTCAGTCTGATAAAATACCACAGTCCTGCAAAGCCTGCAGCTCACCCACACTAGGACCATTGTAGAGTAATACTGACAGGAGAGATACACTACATGACCAAAAGTATGTGGACACCTGCTCGTCGAACATCTCATTCCAAAATCATGGGCATTAATATGGAGTTGGACCCCTCTTTGCTGCTATAACAGCCTCCACTCTTCTGGGAAGGCTTTCCACTAGACGTTGGAACATTGCTGCTGGGACTTGCTTCCAATCAGCCACAAGAGCATTAGTGAGGTTGGGCACTGATGTTGGGCGACTAGGCCTGGCTCACAGTCAGCGTTCCTATTCATCCCAAAGGTGTTCGATGGGGTTGAGGTCAGGGCTCTGTGCAGGCCAGTGAAGTTCTTCCACACCGATCTCGACAAACCATTTCTGTATGGACCTCGCTTTGTGCACGGGGGCATTGTCATGCTGAACATTCAAATCAGAAGGGGACGGATTCATACTCTGGGTCCTGCATTATTCAAGTGCAATCAAATGTACATTATCTTCTAGGGCATGTCTTCACATGCCGTACTGTGAAATGTTTAAGTATTCAGGAAGTTGGTCCTCTACTCCAAAGGCATTACAGCTACTGAGAACCATGAAGTTCTCCTCCTGGGAATACCTGGCCACGTTCAGTAGGCAAATGTTGTGGAACGTTGCAGATAGAAATGTCATGAATAGAGCTGACATGACCCCTTACTTGACATGTCATTGAGGCATGTTTGTTCTACATAACACATTTCTATATGAACGTTCCACAATGTTGTTCCCTGCTGAACATACCGCTCGTCTAATACTACGCAACAGACTTATCTGTTCACACCAGCAAGAGGCAGTCTTTAAGCATGGAAAGAAAATGAGGAATAAGTCACTTATGATATTATCATAGGCATAAACAAAAGCTTTCCAATGAGAATACAAACATTGAACCGTCAAGATACAGTAGTTAAGGCTTCCTATTTATCAGAGGTGTATATCTAGTACAATATATGGCACGCACTTGGTCCAACAATGTCCTTAGTGTGTCTATTGCTTTTCAAGATTTCAATATATGAAAATTGGTCATTGGGCCCACCTGTTGATGTGAAGTATCTATTCACAGGAGAATAGGACAAATACAAAAGTGTCAACAAGGCATGCACTGTATTTGACAGAAGAAGCCTTGCATTGTTATACATTTCTATTTTAAATATACACACTGTGCGTACTGCGTTCAAAGATTATAAAGTATGCAATGCCCAATGTACCATAAACTCTTAAGTACCTAAAAGAAGAAAAGGGATATTTGTTCTATGCATCATCTCTCTCTTGGTCTTCTCTGTCGTCTTTGACGATCCCTTCATCGATGCTCTCCAGCCTCAGTCTCTGACCGTCCAGGTAACGGGGCCTCTGTGCCCCCCTCGCCACAGCAGCAAACAACACCCCAGATAGGGGTGCGTCCTCGCCAAAGAGGGTGAGCTTAGCGTCGCTTTCGATGGCCCTGGCCAGGCAGGAGGCGAAGGTGTCCAGAGATTTGTGTATCTCTACTTGGACCTGGACAGTAGAAGGGATGGTGGTGCTCTCTGCAGCTGAGAGGAAAAGGAACAGGAATTGAGTTTTTGGATTGTCCTTGCATTAAATAGTTATAGCACTATTACAATGAATGGTGATGAAGACCTGATGCGAATTTGCTCCAATAAATATTGAACACATGTTTACACAAGTCTGTTTACTCAAATGCCTAAGTGGGACATATGTACTAGTGATGGGAAGTTTAAGTATTTTAACTGGCTCAAATATTTTCAACTCGTTCAGTCAAAATAACTAATCTATTGACTCATTTCATTAATTTCATTCAGTAATGCCCAGAGCATGCAGGACCCCTTACCAGCGACCTACAATTTTGAAAAAAATAATGATTCTACAAGCCCTCTCGTTCAACATAGGGGCCTTATTGGAGCTGTCATTTGTGACTTAGGGTGTTTTCACACTTGGTCGCCTTCAGTCAATTCTTGTGAACTCAGTGTGGTTCGCTTAATTTTTTGTGCCGTGTTAACAGTCCAAATGAACTCAGACCCCTCAAAACCGAACTGAGACCATCTCAAGAGGTGGTCTGAGTTCGGTTCGCTTGAATTCCGCGGTCAGGTTCCCTTTTTTAGGACAATGCGAACGCAAAGTTCCCCAGGTTCACTTGTCATTATTCCTGCACCACACACTAGACTACTGCCATAAACCCTCACATTGGTGCCACAAAGAGAAGATGATGTGCAGGTTCGCAGAAAGAAATGTGTGCTGTTTTTGGATATTGATTAGCGATTGTCAAGGACGCACAGAAAATCCAAAATGTGTGGAGTTTAGAGTTTAGATTATTTGTTTGCAATATGTGATCTATAGGCTAAGTATAGTATGTGTATCATTTTCTCAAATCAAACACATTGACTTGACTGTGTGAAACCTCCCGTCTTCCCTAGATCTTACTGCTTTGTCTGAAGCCCCCTCCCATAGCACTTTCATCTCCAAGTGAGAACGGACAGGTACCTTTGGAATGCTGCTGCTCGTCTTCAAAGGTGACCGAGCTCCGCCTCTTCACGGCCACGCTTCCAATGTGGGAGGAGCCATCTGTGGAGAAGTTGTCCAGCAGCATCACGTCTGTACCTGCATGGGGAAGGGGGAGGGGAGGGATTCATGACCTTCAGTATTTTGTAGTGCAGTATTTCAGTAGAGATTAAGGAACCGAAAGATGCATAGCAGACAGACACTTGAAAATTGATCCTATTGTACTTACAATGTGTGTCTTCTCTAAACGTATCCGAAAGACTCAAAATAGTATTAATCAGGTAACTCAGTTGGTAGAGCATGGCGCTTGCAATGCCAGGGTTGTGGGTTCGATTCCCACGGGGGACCAGTATGAGAAAAAAAAAGTATGAAAATAATAAGAGCGTCTCGATAAGAGCGTCTGCTAAATGTCAAAAAATGTAAATGTTAAAAAAAGTGTGTGAATGCCTGTGATGACTCCTGTTGAGTCTGCACCAATGAGGAGCATCACACACATGACAGATGATTACACATGATAATACAGTACACACCCTACCATCTACCCTCTGCCAAGACACAAAGCAGGAATCTGGGCTGATCAGAACACAGCTGAGGGATGATGATGATACAACAGAGACAACCAGGCTAAACAGTATTTATCAGCAATAAAGCCCTATGGGGGCAGTTTCAACATGTTTTAAAAGGTACTGGAAGACCAGGGGCGTATTCATTACGCCTGATTCTGTTGCAAAACGTTTATTCAACGGAAGCAAACGAAACAGGGAGGGACCCCGTTTGCTTCCGTTTGGTTCTTAAAATGGTAAACAGTTTCTGCAATGAATATGCCCCAGCTATATCTGTACTGTTCAGTACATTCAGACACTGTATTTCGACTAGGACATAAAGGCCTTGTTTGAATCGTCTTACGGAAACAGTGTTGTGTCTATGCCAGCTTCCTGTGTGCACCACTCACATGAGTCCTGAGTGAAACTGAAGCCAGTGTCTCCAGTGCTGCTGCCGGGGGCCAGGAGCTGCCCTCCTCCCACCAACATGGCCGTCAGGTGAGGGGACATGCCCAGGTCTGCAGGAAGAAACAACAGCAGGGTCAAATATCCAATGCCATACAACTAGGGCTGTCCCTAACCAACAGTTATGGATGAAGACAGATGAAAATAAAATAACCGTCATAACCAATTTTGGAACAAACAGCTGACAGAAGACGGGACGGCCGGCCGGCCATTCATGAGTCCCTTTCTGTAGTAACATGGACTCTTAACAACATGATGAAACAAGCAAGGAGTCTTCGGTTGCCTAGGCAATGCCCCTTCCCGCAGCAGCACACATAGAAATAGAATGAATAGAACAACATGGACCCTCTAACCCTGGCAATTTACTGCTAGTTTACACTCGCAATGGCTGCCTGGTATTGTGATGCAATCATTTCCATGGTAATGTAGAATGTTAATTCAATATATGTTAAGTTGAATCAACAAATCACAGCACATATTGATGGGTACACTTCCTGCTTTACTCCTATCGGTACACTCGCAATAGCAGCCTGTCCACCCATTAGAATGGGGATGCCCGTTCTATTCATTCTATGGCAGCACATGCAGTCAGGAGTGGAGGAGGAGAAAATGTGCATATAAAAAAAAAAGTAAGCCATTTACTGCTAACCTACAAAGCATTACATGGGCTTGCTCCTACCCATCTCTCCGATTTGGTCCTGCCGTACATATCTACACGTACGCTTGGTCACAAGACGCAGGCCTCCTTATTGTCCCTAGAATTTCTAAGCAAACAGCTGGAGGCAGGGCTTTCTCCTACAGAGCTCCATTTTATGGAATGGTCTGCCTATCCATGTGAGACGCAGACTCAGTCTCAACGTTTAAGCCTTTACTGAAGACTCATCTCTTCAGTAGGTCCTATGATTGAGTGTAGTCTGGCCCAGGGGTGCGAAGGTGAACGGAAAGGCACTGGAGCGACAAACCGCCCTTGTTGTCTCTGCCTGGCCGGTTCCCGTCTCTCCATTAGGATTCTCTGCCTCTGACCCTATTACGGAGGCTGAGTCACTGGCTTACTGGTGCTTTCCATGCCGTCCCTAGGAGGGTGTGCATCACTTGAGTGGGTTGAGTCACTGACGTGATCTTCCTGTCCGGTTTGTCGCTCCCTCGGGCTCGTGCAATGGAGGAGATCTTCGTGGGCTATGCTCAGCCTTGTCTCAGGGTAGTAGATTAGTGGTCTGTTGATATCCCTCTGGTGGTGTGGGGGCTGTGCTTTGGCAAAGTGGGTGGGGTTATATCCTGCCTGGTTGGCCCTGTCCGGGGGTATCGTCGGACGGGGCCACAGTGTCTCCCGACCCCCCCCCCCAGTCTCAGCCTCCAGTATCTATTGGCAATAGTCTATGTGCCGGGGGGCTAGGGTCAGTCTGTTATATCTGGTGTTATTCTCCTGTCTTATCCGGTGTCCTGTGTGAATTTAAGTATGCTCCCTCTAATTCTCCCATCCTGGAGGACCTGAGCCCTAGGACCATGCCTCAGGACTACCTGGCCTGATGACTCCTTGCGGTCCACCTGGTCATGCTGCTGCTCCAGTTTCCACTCTTCTGCCTGCGGCTATGGAACCCTGACCTGTTCACCGGACGTGCTACCTTGTCCCAGACCTGCTGTTTTCAACTCTCTCTCTCTACCGCACCTTCTATTTCAACCTCTAAATGCACAGCTATGAAAAGCCAAGTGACATTTACTGCTGATGTACTGACCTATTGCAACCTCTACAACCACTGTGATTATTATTTGACCAAACGTTCATAGATGACCAGCAGGAACATCTTGGAGAAAAATCTGGCCTTAATGGCCATGTACTGTTATAATCTCCACCCGGCATAGCCAGAAGGGGACTGGCCACCCCCTCAGAGCCTGGTTCCTCTCTAGGCTTCTTCCTAGGTTTCTGCCTTTCTAGGGAATATTTCCTAGCCACCGTGCTTCTACATCTGCATTGCTTGCTGTTTGGGGTTTTAGGCTGGGTTTCTGTATAGCACTTTGTGACATCTGTTGATGTAAAAAGGGCTTAATAAATAAAATTTGATTGATTGATTCGAACGGTTATTGCAGTGACCGCAGTCATTTGGCTGGCCAATTACAGTCATCCAAAATTGAATGACCGTCTCAGCCCTGCATATAATACAACACAACATAACAGTCAACTTAACTCTTAACACAACAGCAAGGTCAGCCATACAACACAACAAAGAACACAACAGAATATTTTATGTTGCACCAGTAAGGTTGTGCTGGTTTTCAGCACACAAAGCCAGTTCAAACCTCATCCATCCTCAGCCTCAATCTAACAGCACCACCACCCTCCCCCTGCTCACCTGTGATGCGGTTGGAGATACTGAAGAGGCGTGACGTGCGGTGGCGTGTGGCGAACGACTCCACGCGGTAGTAGCGATCACCGAAGCACATGCCCAGCAGTTCCTTGCGCACAGTCTTGTTCCACAGGCCGTAGATGAGCGGGTGGCAGATGGCGCTGCAGAAGGACAGCCAGGCCACCAGGGTCTCCAGGCCCTGGGACACGCTGCCCTGGCCCCACAGGGCCTCCGTACACACCACCGCCACGTAGGGTCCCCAGGTCACCAGGAAGGTCCCGATCACCACCATAATGGTGACGAAGGCCTTGCACTGGCTCCCGGCGTACACTAAACTCCGCCGGCTTCCGTTGGACGACGTGGATGTAGATGAGTTTTTACGCTGGTCGTTCCTCTGAGCGCCCGATGACGTTTCTTCTGAAGACGCTACCACCGTCGTCCCACAATGCACCTTGCGGGCCTTGAGGCGTGCCACGCGGAAGATTACGCCGTAGCAGGCCAACATGGCGAGCAGCGGCGGCAGGCTGCACCAGGTGACCCAGAAGGCGGTATAGGCAGGGGTGCGGTGCCAGGCCGCCACGCATGTCCACTTGAAGCGGTCGAACTCGAAGGAGGACCAGCCGAAGAGGGGTGGCAGGCAGCCCACCAGGGAGTGCAGCCACACATAGGCGATGGCCACCACCGCCCGGTTGCCTGTGATCTTCATGGGGTAGATCATGGGGTAAAGTACCGCATAGTACCTGTGGGCACAATGATAATGTCAATCCATACATTCTATCAGTGTAAAAAATATCCAAAAAGGATTGCACACAATATGATAGATCGTGAGGCAATGAAAAAAAATAGGAGTTAGGGAATCCTACATACATTTTTATGTGCAAGGAAATTCCACCCAGAAAGTATGTCCCTGGGATGAGCACCATAACAACCAACCAGCCAGGAAGTGACAGAGGTTTATAGGCTACAGTCAGAGCCTCCGTGTGTGGCAAATGTTAGGAGATGCTCAATGGAAGATGGAATTAAAAGTTAAAGGAGAAAGATAGGCTACAACGACCAAGAGCCAACAGGTAGGCTGCTACTTAATATTCTGAATGGAGTTGTTAGGATGAGAACGCGCATGACTGCAGCCTCAATTAGCCTATCTAGCTAATATTAACTAGCTTCTCCTGGTTTGATGCAGTCAAGACCGGTACTACGTATTGGATGCTAAATAACCTACACTGAACAAAAATATAAACGCAACATGCAACAATTTCATGACTAGGAATACAAATACGCATCTGTTGGTCACATACCCCTTAAAAAGAAGGTAGGGGCGTGGATAAGAAAACCAGTCAGTATATGGAGTGATCACCATTTGCCTCATGCAGCGTGACACATCTCCTTCGCATAGAGTTGATCAGGCTGTTGATTGTGGCCTGTGGAATGTTGTCCCAATCCTCTTCAATGGCTGTGCGAAGTTGCTGGATATTGGCGGGCAATGGAACACGCTGTCGTACAAATCGATCCAGAGCATCCCAAACTTGCTCAATGGGTGACATGTCTGGCGAGTATGCAGGCCACAAGAACTGGGACATTTCCAGTTTCCAGGAATTGTGTACAGATCCTTACGACATGGGGCAGTGCATTATGCTGAAACATGGGGTGATGGCGGCAGATGAATGGCACGACAATGGGCCTCTGTATCTCGTCACTGTATCTCTGTGCATTCAAATTGCCATAGATAAAATGATAATTGTGTTCGTTGTCCGTAGTTTATGCCTGCCCATACCATAACTCCACCGCCACCATGAGGCACGCTGTTCACAACGTTGACATTAGCAAACCGCTCGCCCACACGATGCCATACACGTGGTCTGCGGTTGTGAGGCCGGTTGGACATACTGCCAAATTCTCTAAAATGACGGAGGTGGTTTATGGTAGAGAAATGAACATTCAATTCTCTGGCAACAGCTCTGGTGGTCATTCCTGCAGTCAGCATGCCAATTGCACGCGCTCTCAAAACTTGAGACATCTGTGGCATTGTGTTGTGTGACAAAACTGCACATTTTAGAGTGGCCTTTTATTGTCCCCAGCACAAGGAGCACCTGTGTAATGATCATGCTGTTTAATCAGCTTCTTGATATGCCACACCTGTCAGGTGGATGGATTATTTTGACAAATGAGAAATGTTCACTAACAGGGATGTCAATACATTTGTGGTCCTCTGTAGCTCAATTGGTAGAGTATGGCGCTTGTAACGCCAGGGTAGTGGGTTCGATCCCCGGGACCACCCATACGTAAAAATGTATGCACACATGACTGTAAGTCGCTTTGGATAAAAGCGTCTGCTAAATGGCATATTATTATTAAATGGCATATTATATTATATTATATATATTATTATTATTATATTATTAGTGCACAAAATCTGAGAGAAATAAGCTTTTTGTGCGTATGTAAAATTTCTGGGACCTTTTATTTCAGCTCATGAAACATGGGACCAACACTTTACATGTTGCGTTTATATTTTTGTTCAGTGTAGATATGGCAGCTATTAGTCTACTATAGTGTGAGTCAGCTTGTTGGATGGTTGCTGTCTCTCCCTCCTTTCCGTCTCACTCGCTGACAGTACAGCCCCTCCCACGCCTGCTAGAGCAGCACCTCTCCCTCCTCTCACGCTTTATCTGCTGCTTCCCTCACTTGATTCGGATCGGGCCAGGTCTGGATCTGATCAGATATATATGGAACAGGTCTAGTTGTCCTCGGGTCTCTTCGGAACAGGTTACTATATTTAAACAATGTATTTATGCATAATGGCTCCGGGTGGGAATGCCCCAGGTTCATTTTGGAACGGGTCCAACTTTTTGAACCTGTGAAGACCTCTAGCACAACATTCCCTACATACATACTGTACCTAGCAAGCAGCCATCCTAGTGTAGGGGTATTATCACTGACCTGTCGATAGCGATGGCCCCCAAGGTGAGCATGCTGGCCGAGCTGATGAGCAGGTAGATCAGGGCGGTAAAATTGCACCACACCACGCCGAACACCCACTCCCGCCGTGCCGAACTCACCGCCACAAAAGGCAACACCAGCACTGACAGCAGCAGGTTGGACAGGGTCAGGCTGAACACAAACTTGTTGCTGGGTGTGAGGAGGTAGGGCCTGCGGTACAGGGTGGCCACGATGAGGAAGTTGCCCAGGCAGGCCAGGAGGGCGATGGTGACGATGAACACTGACTCCAGCACCACTGGGCCCCCGCCAGCGTCCCACGCAGCCGTGGCGTTCCCCGCAGTGGAGACATTCCCGCTGAAATTCATGGTGAGAGGCTAGGCCGCCGGAGGAGACAGGGCATACCGGGGGACTAGAGGGAGGAAAGAGGGAGGGGACAGTATAGGGTTAGAATGGACTGCACACAACCACAGGCTTGGAGTTAAGGTTAGTCGGAGTTAGGGTTGAAGCCTCGACCCAAGGTCAGTTTTGCATTTTCTCCTCTAATGGTTAGGTTAGGACACACACAAACACACTCTCTCCCCCTCGCTCTCATTGTTTAGCTAGTGTGTATGCTATGCACATTGTATATGTATAGGGAAGAAGAGAAGCCGGATTGTTTTCAGCTTAGTGAACTAGAGAGAGACTGACTGGAGTGGTATGTTGCCATTTAAGCATGTTAGGTCATTTGTCAATCTAATTACACGAATGTGCCCAACGCAGCAGTACAAAATACTGTAGTCTAGTTTGATTTCTGTTTGGATGCTTCAAGTTTCAAAGTTTTATTGTCACATGCACAGGATACAGCAGGTGTAAAACAGTACAATGAAATGCTTAGCCTGATGACTCATACTAAATTCTTCCGCTGCTCTGTCGTTCGCTACATACTTTAGTCTGAGACTGCCATCATTGAAGTCATTTGTGGTGACGAAGGGCATTGTACAATTGTGCAAAACAAAGTCATCAGCGATTGGATTGTCTCTAACCAATCAGAGTACCAATGAAACATTTTCAAACCGCCACTTTACCCATGCCTGTTCTGGCTCAGGCCCAACCCATCGGATTCTGGACCAATCAGATGGCCCAGAATGTGTTTACATTCGGTGAAGGGTTGTGCAGGTACTCAGATCCAGACTTATCGCAGAGAAGAAAGTAATGTCCGTGGACATGATGTAGCATTTGGCCAGAGAAAGGAGTCTGGGTAGCCAGGCAATGAAATGCTTACTTGCGAGCTCTTCCCAACAGTGCAGTAATAATATATACTAATAATAATAATATAATACTATATATATATATTTATTTATTTATTTTACGCGAGAATGCAGTTATATTTACATTTAAGTCATTTAGCAGACGCTCTTATCCAGAGCGACTTACAAATTGCCACATTCAACTTAGGATAGCCAGTGGGACAACCACCACTGGGGGAGGGGGGTGTAGAAGGATTACTGTTAGACTATTCCAGGTATTCCTTAAAGAGGTAGGGTTTCAAGTGTCTCCGGAAGGTGGTCAGTGACTCCGCTGTCCTGGCGTCGTGGGGGAAACTCTTGTGTCAGTGTCATTACCATTATTAGAATATGCAGGGGTAATGGAGTGATTGAGGTCGGTATGTACATGTAAACAGGGGTCAAAAGTGACTGGTAGCAGGATAAATATGAATGATAATAATAATCAATATTGAAGCAGCATGTGGTGAGTGGATGTGTGCATGGTGATGTGTGTGTGTGTGTGTGTTTTTTGGATGGCTAGGATCTCACCCCCAGTGATGCTATCAGGCCCTGGTTTCTTACATTAATGGGATAATATATGGCATGGCAACACAGCCTGACAGCAAAGACAACAAGATAAGGATTTGATCCCCTGAGTCCAGACCAGAGATCCAGACTTGCGCAGCTAGAATTAAGAACAAACTTCCACAACCTGTAGAATGGATGAAACTGTTTTGCTTCATTCCGCGACCTACAAATAATACCTAGTTATCAAATCAAGTTGTATTTGTCACATGCTACGTAGACTAACAGTGAAATGCTTACTTACGCGTCCTTTTCCGACAATGCAGAGTTAAAGATAAATATTTTTAAATAGAAATAGTGACACGAGGAATAAATACATAATGAATAACAATAACGAGTAAAAAAAATAACATCGCTATATACAGGGAATGCCAGTAGTAGTAGATGTAGTTAGATGTATAGCTAACTGTATTGCGCTTTTACTCTGTCTGAATTCTTAATAAATTACTTTTGTTAGTGTTGCATTAGCTAGGCTTACAATTTACAGAGTAAGCTACTGCCTACTAATGGACTAAAGGAGCCTAACGTTACTCCTTATAGTCCAAGGACCTTACATGTTCTGTTTAGAGGCCAATTGGATCTGGTAGCCAAATACTCCATCTAAACATGAATCGACTCAATTGCGGTACAGTTCTAGAAACATAAAGCCCTCCACTTTCATATCACATCAAAATAATTTCACAAATGCTAATTACACACTTAACCGGTTATAACACAGTTGCAGCGGACAGTGTTTTTCAGTGACAATACGTTTGTAGCGTCCGTCTTCCATTTACACACAGGTGTTCGGAGACACAAGATAGCTAATGAACACAGGTAGTTGATTCTGTAACATGGAAATATGGCCGTGTGGGAACCCTAATCCTATTAAAGGTGAGTAGTAATTTAACCTTTTGTTTTTTGAAAATTATTTCTCGCTGATATACAGTACGTTCCTTTTGTTTCCAAAACCGTACGGAGCGTCGAGGCTCTGAACAAAACTCCCCTGCACCGAAGATACTATCACAGATCAAACAATGAGCCAGATGTTTCACCGGATGTATAAATCTAAAGAATTAATAAATCTGAAACATCCGGTTGGCGATTCCACTCACCACCAAATATGGTGATGAGAGGAAGCCCAGTGGCTGGCAGTGGGAGAAAATGCAGCGAGATGGATTTTGGCCGACATTCTGCTCATTTTACATTTTAGTCATTTAGCAGACGCTCTTATCCAGAGAGAGAGTGCATACATTTTTCATACTGGCCCCCCGTGGGAAACGAACACACAACCCTGGCGTTGCAAGCGTCATGCTCTACCAACTGAGTAGATGATCATCAATAATATAATAATAACATGCCATTTAGCAGACGCCTTTATCCAAAGCGACTTACAGTCATGCGTGCATACATTTTTGTGTATGGGTGGTCGCGGGGATCGAACCCACTACCTTGGCGTTACAAGCGCAGTGCTCTACCAGCTGAGCTACAGAGGACCACGTTTGATTTCAATACAGTTGTCTGGTCCCAAAAATAGAATATGTTATGAACAGAGTGGCTTACGTTTTGTAAACTTTACCATTTGCCAAAGTAAAATAAAAAATAAAAAATGCGTGTTAGGAGTGCAAGGGCGAATCAAGTTACTGCACATGTGCACCTCAGAGTAGGCGTTCCCTAACGAAAATATGCAAATACAAGCTAGGCCCCCCTTTAGCTCAGTTGGTAGAGCATGGCGCTTGCAACGCCAGGGTTGTGGGTTCGATTCCCACGGGGGGCCAGTATGAAAATGTATGCACTCACTAACTGTATGTCGCTCTGGATAAGAGCGTCTGCTAAATGACTAAAATGTAAAACGCACCAATAGGATCTCGCTAGCTCGTGCTTGGCCCTTCCCACCTCTTTGCTTGTTCTGCCCACTGATTCATTTGCCATCATTGGAAACGACAGGCTATGGTCCATCTTTGGTTAGTTATAAATCTCTTTGATACTATCGGCAATAGGCAGGCACTAAAGATAGTTAGCGTCTATGAATGGGATAGCTACAGCCAAGTTATTTACTGTCAACAAAACTCTGATAAACAGCTCAGAAGGTCACCCATTCACAAGACTAAACCCAAAACTTTCCAGATGTACTACTTTAACTACAATTGCTGTCAAGAAAGGGTCGTTCAGTTGTTTTTGGAGTTTGTAGAATAATTGTTTATACAGACAGTACTGGGGGAGGGATTAACGCAGACAAAAAACGAGTTTCGCATGATTGACACAGACACCGTTCACTCACTGTCACAAATGACAACATACATACGCCAATTAGAGGTGCTTCAATAACCTATAAAGGCCTAGCTAACTCCTTACATAATTTCTGATATTCAAAGGCTTTTAATACCGTCGTGACCCTGTTTGTAGCTAGCTTCTGCTAACTAGCTAGCTAAAACTTTCTCCATTGTCCGCGCATACTCCCCCACCTCCACTACTATTCTCTTCTCACCTCTAGAACCGCGTTGAGGACCGTCATCTCCTACGAACTGGCAACGAAAGTTGTGTGTTCCTTGGCACTACAACTTTAATTCAACGTAGAAATAGTTGAATCCTAGAATTTTCCCCATTTCATAGTTATCCTTTCGCTACAAAATCCGGTCTTGCAGTTCCCGGTTTCAATGGCGTCCTCCACTAGCCTCCACTGACTGAACTCAGTCTTCTCTGTCCTTGCTGGCGGGTCCCCCTTCTCAGCCTGTGGGTGGTCTGTGATGGGTGTTACTTTAGTTAGTTCCTTTGTAGCTAGTTTATATGCAAGACAGTTGCATTTGCTTTCACGTTCAACAATGCTACAAATAGCCTACGTTGTCGAGTAAAACAAGAAGTTTGTTGCTGTAATAAAAAAAAGGCTAACTAGCGCAATTGGCTATGTCTACACATTTGGTTAATTTCGTAATCGTTCTAAATATTGCACACAAAAAACTATTGTAATGTATATACACTGAGTGTAAAAAAAACATTAAGGACACCTGCTCTTTCCATAACAGACTGACCAGGTGAAAGCTATTGATGTCAATCCACTTAAATCAGTGTAGATCAGTGGTCATCAACCTTTTATGAGTAAAGATAACTTTTGCAGTCAAAAAGCAAGCCGAGATCTACCGCTCAGATTGTTTTAAACATGACAAAAATGTAACTAACCTAATAAAAACAGATCTGTAGGAATTACATTTCTGCAGTAAGCAGGCCTAATACGTTATCACAGCATATTGGCTACAGTGCATTCGGAAAGTATTCTGAACCCTTGACTTTTTCCACAATGTGTTACTTTACAGCCTTATGCTAAAATGGATTAAATTGTTTTTTCCCCATCAATCTACACACAATACCTCATAATGACAAAGCAAAAACCGTTTAGAAATGTTTGCACATTTATTAAAAATAAAAAACGGAAATATCAAATTTACATAAGTATTCAGACCGTTTACTCAGTACTATGTTGAAGCACCTTTGGTAGCGATTGACAGCCTTGAGTCTTCTTGGGTATGATGCTACCAGCTTGGCACACCTGTATTTGGGGAGTTTCTCCCAGAATTCTCTGCAGATCCTCTCAAGCTCTGTCAGGCTGAATGGGGAGCGTAGCTGTACAGCTATTTTCAGGTCTCTCCAGAGACAAACTCCAAGCGGGCTGTCATGTGCCTTTTACTGAGGAGTGGCTTCTGTCTGGCCACTCTACCATAAAGGCCTGATTGGTGGACTGCTGCAGAGATGGTTGTCCTTCTGGAAGGTTCTCCCATCGCCACAGCGGAACTCTGGAGCTCTGTCAGAGTGACCATCGGGTTCTTAGTCACCTCCCTGACCAAGGCCTTTCTCTCCCGAGTCTTGGTGGTTTCAAACTTCTTCCATTTAAGAATGATGGAGGCCACTGTGTTCTTGGGGACCTTCAATGCTGCAGACATTTTTTGGTAACCTTCCCCAGATCTGTGCCTCGACACAATCCTGTCTCGTAGCTCTGACATGCACTGTCGACTGTGGGACCTTATATAGACAGGTGTGTGCCTTTCCAAATCATGTCCAATCAATTGAATTTACCACAAGTGGACTCCAATCAAGTTTTAGAAACATCTCAAGGACGATCAATGGAAACAGGATGCACCTGAGCTCAATTTCGAGTCTCATAGCAAAGGGTCTGAATACTTATGTAAATAAGTTATTTCAGATTTTTATTTTTAATAAATGTGCAAAAATGTTTTTCGCTTTGTCATTTTGGGGTATTGTGTGTAGATTGATCAGGAAAAATAAATAATGTAATCCATTGTAGAATAAGGCTGTAATGTAACAACATTTTGAAAAAGTAAAGGGTTCTAAATACTTTTAAAATGCAGTGCATTTTTTTGGATTGACATACAGAACTTTGTTACAAAGAAAACAGGACAGGTTGTACAATTGAATGGTTTTGATATAATTATTTATTCGAGGAAATTCTGACATTGATAAAGATGTAGTATATTTAATTCAACTGCTAATAATATTTGGTAAATTTCATATTCACAAATGCAAATGGTCTAATTCATAACCTAACTTTTCACATTAATTTAAACAATATGGCAGTACTTTAACTATAATGAAAAACAAAAAGGCAATTAAAACTTGTTGTATTATTAATGAATATGTTTTGTTTGTTTAGGATTCCTGGCAATATAAATAGTTTGTATGTATGCTTGTTTGCATGTGACTATTCCTCTTTTGTTTGTTGATATTTGTTTATTAATAAAAAATAAATACATAATAATAATAATATATATATATATATACAGTACCAGTCAAAACTTTGGACACACCTACAGTGAGGGAAAAAAGTATTTGATCCCCTGCTGATTTTGTACGTTTGCCCACTGACAAAGAAATGATCAGTCTATAATTTTAATGTTAGGTTTATTTGAACAGTGAGAGACAGAATAACAACAACAAAATCCAGAAAAACTCATGTCAAAAATGTTATAAATTGATTTGCATTTTAATGAGGAAAATAAGTATTTAATCCCTCTGCAAAACATTACTTAGTACTTGGTGGCAAAACCCTTGTTGGCAATCACAGAGGTCAGACGTTTCACTCCAACACCATCATTAAGTTTGCCGACGACACAACAGTGGTAGGCCTGATCACCGACAACGATGAGACAGCCTATAGGGAGGAGGTCAGAGATCTGGCCGTGTGGTGCCAGGACAACAACCTCTCCCTCAACGTGACCAAGACAAAGGAGATGATTGTGGACTACAGGAAAAAAAAGAGGACTGAGCACGCCCCCATTCTCATCGACGGGGCTGTAGTGGAACAGGTTGAGAGCTTCAAGTTCCTTGGTGTCCACATCACCAACGAACTATCATGGTCCAAACACACCAAGACAGTCGTGAAGAGGGCACGACAAAGCCTATTCCCCCTCAGGAGACTAAAAAGATTTGGCATGGGTCCTCAGATCCTCAAAAAATTCTACAGCTGCACCATCGAGAGCATCCTGACTGGTTGCATCACCGCCTGGTATGGCAACTGCTTGGCCTCTGACCGCAAGGCACTACAGAGGGTAGTGCGTACGGCCCAGTACATCACTGGGGCAAAGCTCCCTGCCATCCAGGACCTCTATACCAGGCGGTGTCAGAGGAAGGCCCTCAAAATTGTCAAAGACTCCAGTCACCCTAGTCATAGACTGTTCTCTCTGCTACCGCACGGCAAGCGGTACCGGAGTGCCAAGTCTAGGTCCAAAAGACTTCTCAACAGCTTCTACCCCCAAGCCATAAGACTCCTGAACAGCTAATCATGGCTACCCGGACTATTTGCACTGCCCCCCCACCCCATCCTTTTTACGCTGCTGCTACTCTGTTAAGTATTTATGCATAGTCACTTTAACTCTACCCACATGTACATATTACCTCAACTAGCCGGTGCCCCCGCACATTGACTATGCAACGGTACCCCCCTGTATATATAGCCTCCCTACTGTCACTTTATTCTATTGTATATATAGCCTCCCTACTGTCACTTTATTTTTTACTTCTGCTCTTTTTTTTTCTCAACACTTTTTTGTTGTTGTTTTATTCTTACTTTTTTGTTTAAAATAAATGCACTGTTGGTTAAGGGCTGTAAGTAAGCATTTCACTGTAATGTCTGCACCTGTTGTATTCGGCGCATGTGACCAATAAAATTTGATTTGATTTGATTTGATTTGATTTCTTGTAGTTGGCCACTAGGTTTGCACACATCTCAGGAGGGATTTTGTCCCACTCCTCTTTGCAGATCTTCTCCAAGTCATTAAGGTTTCGAGGCTGACGTTTGGCAACTCGAACCTTCAGCTCCCTCCACATATTTTCTATGGGATTAAGGTCTGGAGACTGTCTAGGCCACTTCTTGAGCCACTCCTTTGTTGCCTTGGCCGTGTGTTTTGGGTCATTGTCATGCTGGAATACCCATCCATGACCCATATTTAATCCCTGGCTGAGGGAAGGAGGTTCTCACCCAAGATTTGACGGTACATGGCCCCGTCCATCGTCCCTTTGATGCGGTGAAGTTGTCCTGTCCCCTTAGCAGAAAAATACCCCCAAAGCATAATATTTCCACCTCCATGTTTGACGGTGGGAATGGTGTTCTTGGGGTCATAGGCAGTCCTCCTCTTCCTCCAAACATGGCGAGTTGAGTTGATGCCAAAGAGCTCGATTTTGGTCTCATCTGACCACAACACTTTCACCCAGTTCTCCTCTGAATCATTCAGATGTTCATTGGCAAACTTCAGACAGCCCTGTATATGTGCTTTCTTAAGCAGGGGGACCTTGCGGGCGCTGCAGGATTTCAGTCCTTCACGACATAGTGTGTTACCAATTATTTTCTTGGTGACTATGGTCCCAGCTGCCTTGAGATCATTGACAAGATCCTCCCGTGTAGTTCTGGGCTGATTCCTCACCGTTCTCATGATCATTGCAACTCCACGAGGTGAGATCTTGCATGGAGCCCCAGGTCGAGGGAGATTGACAGTTCTTTTGTGTTTCTTCCATTTGCGAATAATTGCACCAACTGTTGTCACCTTCTCACCAAGCTGCTTGGCGATGGTCTTGTAGCCCATTCCAGCCTTGTGTAGGTCTACAATCTTGTCCCTGACATCCTTGGAGAGCTCTTTGGTCTTGGCCATGGTGGAGAGTTTGGAATCTGATTGATTGATTGCTTCTGTGGACAGGTGTCTTTTATACAGGTAACAAACAAACTCCCTTTAAGAGTGTGCTCCTAATCTCAGCTCGTTACCTGTATAAAAGACACCTGGGAGCCAGAAATCTTCTGATTGAGAGGGGGTCAAATACTTATTTCCCTCATTAAAATGCAAATCAATTCATAACATTTTTGACATGCGTTTTTCTGGATTTTGTTGTTGTTACTCTGTCTCTCACTGTTCAAATAAACCTACCATTAAAATTATAGACTGATCATTTCTTTGTCAGTGGGCAAACGTACAAAATCAGCAGGGGATCAAAAACGTTTTTTCCCTCACTGTACTCATTCAAGGGTTTTTCTATATTTTTACTATTTTCTACATTGAAAAATAATAGTGACGACATCAAAACTATGAAATAACACATTTGGAATTATGTAGTAACCAAAAAAGTGTTATACAAATCAAAATATATTTTATATTTGAGATTCTTCAAATAGCCACCCGTTGTCTTGATGACTGCTTTGCACACTCTTGGCATTCTCATCTGGAATGCTTTTCCAAC